GCATGAAAAGGCTATTGGACTCTGGTTTGGGGCTGTCAAGGACTCGCCTGTTCAGAATTATACAGGGTTAGAAATGTACCACCAGGGGACAAAGGGTGAAATTCAGCAGTGATACTCACTAGATACCATGTTGGAAATGAGCTATACAACTGGGGGTGGGAGACAGGGAGGGGAATGGGGGGAGGAGGAAGGGGAAAAAACTGGGAGAAAATGAAGGGTAACACTGTTCAAAAAGAAATGTACTTATGCTGGGTGCCAGTGGCTCACTAATCCTAGCTACTCAGGAGACTGAGATCTGAGGATCACAGTTCAAATTCAGCCCAAGAAGGAAAGTCCATGAGGCTCTTATCACCAATTAACCACCAGAAAACTGCATGTAGAGCTGTGGTAAAGGGCTAGCCTTGAGCAAAAGAGGTTAAGGACAGCACTCAGATGGGAAGTTCAAGCCCTATGCTTGACAAAAAAAGAAGGGGAAAAAAGTATATCACCAGAAATTGTGCTATCCAAACTCTTGCTTATGCAGGTGAAGTAATTTTGGTCAAAGGAAGAGAGCCTTGTTGGAGGCTCTAGACTAAATCAGGGCATAGCTTGTTGGGTTGAAGAACGCCAGGCTTTTGAAAGGATCAGGCCCAAGATATCATTCACATATGTGAGTGATAATTTTGTAAGGACTTTAGATGAGATTTTAAATATCCAAATGGCTTTTGGTAGAAAAAAAAGGTTACCCACTTCTGGATGGAATAGTTTTCAAATAATGTAGTAAATGAAGTAATGCATTAAAACCTTCCTTCAGGGCACTGGGTTAGAAACTCATCCTTTTAAATCATTACCAAGTGCAAGGGTGTCAACCATTGAAAATAAACAAGTGGCACCCCACACAAACAAAGACCAATTATGGCAACCAACCCTCCATGCGATGCTTTTGAGGTTTTCTGGTGATGTTTGGTGTAAATGCGGAAGACTTTTCGCCCCTTCTGAGTGTTGGCCTGATGGACAGAGGTGTGCAGGTTAAGAGGATTCTGTCTTTCCAATTCTATGTATAAACACTGCTACGACAATGCTGTGAGATTGCCTTCTCTACTTTGACCTTGAGCTGGTCTCCCAGTTCTTTTGACCTTGAACTGGCCTCCCAGTTCTTTTGAACATTTTATTAGCTAAGGGTAAAATGGTCCAGGTAAAATGAATTATTTTCATTCCAGTTTAGAGTAACAAGCAAGATTATACTTTGTATAAGCAATAAAGGAAACCACTAGACTTTTTATTTCCCACTGCCATTTTATTCACTCAGTAATTGTGTGTGTGTGTGTGTGTGTGTGTGTGTGTGTGTGTGTGTGTGCTAGTACTGGAGCTGTTGTCTCTTAGATTTTTTGCTCAACTGTGGTGCTCTATCCCTTGAGTGACATTCCTACATGTACCATTTTGGTGGATAATTGGAGCAGAGTCTCACAAGCTTTTCTGCTGGAGCTGACTCTGAACCCTGTTCCTAGATCTCAACCTCTTAAATAGCTAGGATTACAGGCTTGGGTTACTGGCACTGGGCTCATTAATGGCTTTTTTTTTTGTCAGTTGTGGGACTTGAACTCCTGGCCTGGGTGCTGTCCCTCAGCTCTTCAGCTCAAGGCTAGCCCTCTACCACTTGAACCACAGCGCCACTTCTGGTTTTCTCAGGGTTAATTGCAGATAAGAGTCTGAAGGGGACTTTCCTGCCCGGGCTGGCTTGGAACCGCGATCCTCAGATCTCAGCCTCCTGAGTAGCTAGGATTACAGGGGTGAGCCACCAGCACCCAGCATTTTTTTTTTTTGTTTTAAAAGTAAGTTTGATACAGTTGCTTTGGGACAGCAGTGAGTCAGAGGTTGGCATCAAAACCAAAATAGAAGCCATAGTCTTCCCTGGGGATTCCACTCAGGGCTCAAAATCCCAGATCACACAACTTCCTAATTGGAAAGAAAGGTTCTTAAACAAGAACAGGGGTTGGTGGGAGCCTGTCAGTGACTAATAGGTCTGTCTAAGGACTGTCTGATGAAAGAGAAGTTAGACTTCGATGTTGCAGGGAATTTTTAAAAGCAGTGTAACTCTGAGGTTTATTTCTCTTCCAGACAACCCATTCCAGTTCATGCAGATGTGATTAATTAACTTTGCGATGATATTCTAAAGTCTTCTTCCCAAATGCCTTTGTTTTCTGCTTATAAGCAAGGCTCCCGTGTGAAGTGATTGCGTTTTCCACTTTCAGCCTGCAGACCAATTAGACACCAATTTTATATTTTGTCCAACAGCCCTTACCTTGCATTCATTTAAAGATGGCCCAAACATTTTAATTTAAAAGAAAATGAGCTAGGGGGTAGGGGTACTTGTACAGTATGCGGGTGGACACTGAGGCAATTTAAATCCCATTTGTTGACGTTCACACCATGAAAGGCGAATTCTAGAGCCGAGGGGGAAAGGGATTTTTGTTTGCATTTATCTCTTTCAAGAATCAGGCCGTCTCTTTCCAAGCGAGAGGCGCTGGGCTTAAAAGCAAACCGAGTCCGAAGTTGCTGGCCCCTCCAGGGACCAGCGCGCAGGCGCGTGCCCGCACACGTGGGCGCACACACGCACACGCGCCCGCCCCCACCCCTTGCGTGTGACTCGCCTGAAGGATTTATGAGCTTTGCCACCGCGGATTACAGTCAGGTGCAGAAAACAACCCTTTGTTCCGTGGGCCTGCCGCCCCCTCCCTTCCCCGGATTTAACTGCTATTTACGGGCCACGTGAACGCTGGGCTCAGGTCCCCCCCCCCTGCCCACTGGGGAAACAAAGGCTGGCCCAGGCTGGCCAGTGCCGCCCGGGGACGTCTCTCCAGCTCCGGCGACTCGTGTGAAATTGGCCCAGATGGGCGCCTGCTGCAGGCTCTTTCCAGAGATGTCCAGTCAGAGTCTTCGTAAAGAAGCCCGTCCTGCCGTCAGTACCTGCTAGGGGTCGGATTTCTGAGCCTCGGCAGGGCGAGCCGGAGAACTAATCAGCCCGGGACAGTTGGGGGGAGTGGGGGTGAGAAGCAGAATGAGAAATGGGCCCGGGCCCCCTGAGCCTGCCCCGCCACGGGTGGGGGGCGCGCGGAGCGTCTCTGTGGTCCGTCCTCCGCCGGGCCCCAGGTTGTCACCAAACACCTTCCGTTAGTCCGCACTTCGGGGCGACCTTCCAGGGAGGGGACTACAGGGTGGACAATGTCAGAGGGAGACCAAAAGTCAGTCCCCTTAAGATCGTCCTTAAGGAAAACAAAATGAGACCAAAGAATCCGTGATAAGACCATGGAAAAAAGATGTAAAGACAGCATCTCTGCAGCGCAATCCAGCCTCTCTCAGCCTACTTGACTTGGGCGGGGGGGGGGGGGGGAGGAAAGGATTCGGGGTGCATTTGGGGGAGAAGCACACCGGAAGACCTCGGAAGTGGAGCCCCCTCGATTGTGGAGGGTCGGCCCCGCGGGTGGGGTGGAGGATGGAGATGGGAGCTCTGGGGAGCCGCTCGGCCCCGAACAAAGGCGGAGGGCCAGGAGAACCGGGAGCCCCCGGTTGGGGCCGGGGGGGACCCGGAGGATCCCGCAGCCCTCGTGGCCTGGATCGGACTTCACGAGCGGCCGGAGACGCAGCGTCCGTCCCCGTCGCCACCGAAGCCGCCCGCGGGCGAGCCCTGTAACTCCCTCGCTCGGAGAGTCATTCTCACTAACGCGACTTGGCAAGATGTCGGGCGAATCCGTTTTGGCTTCTATAAGGTCCCCGCCGCGTGTGCGCACATCACTCCCTCCCCCGGGCCAAAATCGGCCTCGGGGAAATCAAATGCATTAGGGAAGCCGGGGTGGGGGTGCTACGTGACCTGGAAAGAGGGTTTGCAGACACTGGAACGGGCCCCCGAGCTGAGGACATCCTTTCCAAAGGTCACTCTGTGCGCGTGTGGCTTGTGAGGTCTGAGCAGCGCACCGGCGCCAAATGTGGGACCCCCATTCTATCATTTCCTGAGAAAGACAATTCACACGTGTGCAGGAGGGTGGGTGAGGGTTTTCCTCAAAGCTGGAGACTGTCGGGGTTTTCTCCCCCGCCAGGGTTAAACAAACATCTTTTAGGAAGCTGGGACTGGAGAGCCGCCCAGCAGTCCTCCGTAGTGGGGGCAGGAGGGGGGGCATTCCGGCCATTAATGCTTCCCTCCGGGCCGTAAAGCCACAAACCCCACACCTCTCTCCAATTACGGGGCTTCGGGCGGGAGCGCTTTCTGTTTCATCTTCTAAATTGGGGTTTGCGCACGTTCCTCGGGAAGCTATAAAGCTGATTTCATGGCTCAGTCGAAAACCCATCACGCTAATGCATACGCTAACGTCTGATGAGTTGCATTAAAAACAAAGACGAGATTGGCCGGGCAGAATGGGCACGGCCGGTTTGGGGGTAGGTGGCTCCCGGCTCTTCCTTTACAGTGGGCGGCGGGACACCGGGTCCCTCTGTCACTGGGGTGCTGGGGAGACCCGTGGAACTGCTTGGCGGGGTGGAACCTCCAACCCGAGCCCAGGCCTGTTAGGCTGACTTCTCGGCTAGCCTCTCCGTGCCAACCCCCCGAGTGGCCGGGTGGAGTGGCCGCAGAGCGGCTTGGGTCCGGCAGGAAGCTCGGTGGCTGCCCAGGGCGGCGGTGGCTAGGTAAGAGGTGCCGCCTCGCCGCGCTCCATTCACAAAGGTCCGGGAGCCGCGGCTCGCCGGCGGGTCGGAGGCCGCCTCCCTCTTCCTCTGGGTCTCAGTTTTATGAATGAGTTTGGCGGCGAGCTCCCAGAGCCCTGTTTACTCCTCTTTGTGACGTCGAGTTCCCGTGACTGGGCCGGCGCTCCATTCACGCGCCGCGGAGGGGGCGTGGCTAGCGTGGGGGGCGTGGCGGGCGCGAGGCCGAGAATGGAAAGGGGCGGAGTCTCGGGAGGTAGTAATGGACCTCCCCCTCCTCGGGGGAGAGCTGAGGAGCTTTAATAAATCTTTAAGCCGAGGAGGAAACTCTAGCTGGGGCTGTGCGCGGAGCTCCGGCGGGGCGTGGGGAACGGCGGCGCCCGCGCGGGTGGTAGCCGAAACAGCCCTACCGGCAAAAACACACTAGAGGCCACAAACGAGGGGAGCCCGGGCTGCTCTCCGGTACACACACTTCCTCCCACCGCCACCTCCCCTCCGCCCCGCGCGCCACCCGGCCGCTCGGACTGCTATGTGACCGAGAGGCTGTGGAGGAAGGGGTCTTGGAAGAGGTGAGCTAAGTTTGAGCCCACTTTTGCAGGCGCCCCTCTGAGCCCTCGCCTGCCCTAGGTCTGGTAACTAGCTGGCTCCCGGGTGCCCTTCGCCTCCGAGCGCTTCCAGCTGCCGCGGTTCCCGGTGACCATGGTGACGATGGAGGAACTTCGGGAGATGGACTGCAGCGTGCTCAAAAGGCTGATGAACCGGGACGAGAACGGCGGCGGCGGCGCGGGCGGCAGCGGTAACCACGGCGCCCTGGGGCTGCTGAGCGGCGGCAAGTGCCTGCTGCTGGATTGCAGACCGTTCCTGGCGCACAGCGCGGGCTACATCCGAGGCTCGGTCAATGTGCGCTGCAACACCATCGTGCGGCGGCGGGCCAAGGGCTCGGTGAGCCTGGAGCAGATCCTGCCCGCCGAGGAAGAGGTGCGCGCCCGCCTGCGCTCCGGCCTCTACTCGGCCGTGATCGTCTACGACGAGCGCAGCCCGCGCGCCGAGAGCCTCCGCGAGGACAGCACCGTGTCGCTGGTGGTGCAGGCGCTGCGCCGGAACGCGGAGCGCACCGACATCTGTCTGCTCAAAGGTAAGCGCGGGTGATGGGAAGGGAAGTGTGGTGGCCTTGCCTCTCGTAAAGCCGGGAGAGGGGGTGGGGGGAGAATCGGAGGGATCCCTGGCTCCGGGGATCCCACCGAGCTTCTTTGTGCACGTTGGAGTGTTAGGGGTCGCCAGGTTGTTTTTGAGTGTTGTGCGAGTGCGATATCCAGGTCCTCGGCAAGGTGGCAGGCGCGTTTCTCAGGTCACCTGCAGCCCTGCACGCGTCCTTATTGACGGGCACTCGCTAACGGTTCCGGAGAAGCCACTCCTGTGCGCGGCCCGGCTTGGAGTCCCAGGAGGCGACCCTCAAGTACCGCCGTGCGGGTGGGGACCAGATAGAGGCCTGTGGGTTCGGCTTGCGGGGGACCTATAGTGACCCTGACAACGGAGAGGAGCGGTGGAAGGTTGAGGTGCAGGGGTAGGATCGCTCTTGCTGGTGCCGACTGGAAGCCCCGTCTTTTGGTAAAAGCCGAAACGAGATCGGGGAGCGATCCGCCGCCTCTCTCCTCCCCACTGCCTAACAAGGAGATTTCTGGAAAGTGACCGACTCCCCTGGTCTCAGGCTAGACCTGGGAAACCACGAGCAGAGGCTGGAGGGAAACTGGGAGTTAGTTATCTGGGGGGACGCCAGGCCCAACCCGCGTGGGCCACCCGCTTGCCCACGTAGGCGGCGAGGAAGGAACGACCTTTTGTTCAGACACCCTTCTCCACCGATGGCGGCGCGTGCCTGCTTCCAGTGAACCCCGCCGAGAACTCCGTGACGGTCGGGAGGTGGCGGGTCCAAGGAGGAAGACAGCCGCCCCCCGAAGGACCGCGTGCTAACCCAATCCCGCGGCGGCAGCCTGCGCTCGCGAGCCGCCCCGCGGCGGGAGTCGGGCGGGTGTGCGG